AGTGACAAAGATGCAAGTGATCGGCTCAGGAATGAGCTCCTACGAGTATTCTGGTCCTTCCAACTTGGTGCGCCCAAGTTTGCGTCACACGCTTTATGATGAGCTATTGAGTGCACTTGGTTTCGTCTGCCACGCCTGGCGACAATCAGACAAGTTGAAGATATCAAAGGAGCGATTTTCCTTCTCACTTGATTGCATGTCTGTTGGCAGTCAACACCATCAGGGTGAATCTGAGGAGCTTGCTTTTGTTTGCACTTAACTTCTACATTCCACCAATTTACATTCCCTCTTTGGTAGTGACTCCCAAGTTTATTTTTATTTGATTTTGAGGTTACTTTTTTTTGTTCATTTGTCATTTTGATGGAAGTTGTTGGGTGGCGAGATAAATTTTATTCTGAGTCTGGGTTTCTATTCCAAAAAATTTTTTTTCGTAACAAATTTTCAATAACTCTGTATAAGAATTTGTTCTAAGGGGGAGGGCTGGTTGATTATGGACAAACTCATAATCACAAGTGTAAATCATGAATTGGAAAAACAATTATTCACAGGTTCCAAACTTGAGTGTTTATTGAACAACTAAAGCTTAATTTTCAAGGTCACATAAGAGACCAACCATTGATGTCGCGTGGGCAACAGCTTTAGCAGGCAGGCGTCCAGGAGGCATCCTAATTAGATGCCCGAGCCTCCTCATGTCGCTCCTCTCAGCATGGAGCAAAAGCAGCTCGACTCTGAACCCCTTCTGGATGACCGAGCTTCTCACTATTTCCACGGGAGAGCTCGGACACCCTGCGGAGGAAACACATTTGGGCCGCTTGTATCCGGGATCTCGTTTCGATCACAACCCATAGCTCATGACCATAGGTTAATGTACGAGCGTCGATCGACCGGGAAATCGAGAGCTTCGCCTTTTGGCTCAGTTCCTTCTTCACCATGACAGACCGATACAAAGTCTGCATCACAGTCAACGCTGCACCGATATGCCTGTCAATCTCCCGCTCCATCCTGCTCCCTCTCGTGAACAAGACCCCAAGATACTTAAACGCCTCCACTTGTGGGTAAGATCTCATCCCTGACCCGGAAAGAGTACTCCACCCGTTTCCGATTGAGGACCGTTGTTTCAGATTTGGAGCTGCTGATTTTCATTCCAACCGCTTCACACTCAGCTGCAAACCGCTCCAGTGAGAGTTGGAGATCCTGGCTTGAAGAAGCCAACAGCACCACATCATCTGCAAAAAGCAGAGAGGTAATACTGAGGCCGCCAAACCGGACCCCCTCAACGCCTCGGCTGCGCCAAGAAATTCTATCCATCGAGGTTATGAACAGAATCAGGGACAAAGGGCAGCTTTGACCGAGTCCAACCCTCACTGAAAACGAATCTGACTTACTGCTGGCAATGCGAACAAAACTCTGACATCCGTAGTATAAGGAACGAATAGCCCGTATCAGTAGGTTTAGTACCCCATCCTCCCAAAGCACCCCAAAGAACTCCCCGAGGGACACGGTCAAACGCCGTGCTCAGTTTAAAGTAAATTTACAAAAACTATCAGCCTCACTGTATCAATACTTTTAAAAGGTGAGTATAAAACTGAATGACATGAAATTAACTAGAATAATAAACTACAAAGGGGTGGGTGTGGTCTCTGACAAAAGAAAAAAAAACTGATTTTAAGTATAGTGAAGTTGTTGCATATTTAACACTTTTACCTAAGGCTGTATATTGTGACAAATGAACAGTAATTGGTCATTTCCCCAAAAACGCTGATCATCCAGTTTGAGGTACTGAACCGACCAGATTGAACTGCAGATATGCACCGGTGCTTTTTCTTAGGTGAAGTTTATGTTAGTGGGAAAGTGTCAAAGACCAAGTTTTGGTACAATTAACACAATGAAACAAACACAATAAAAATAACCTAAGTAGCAAATTATTGCCACTGTGAGTTTTGAGTAACAATTTAAAAAAATTATTCTTACTGGATGACATTTCTGATCATTAGTAGTAGTATATATATGTATATGGCATGTATATTGTTCGAATTAGGAAATACAAAATTATAAGTGATCACTCAAATGACAGCTTTTCACTTTAATAATTGTAATATGCGAGGGACGATCAGAGTCTGCATCCCCCAGGCCCTTATTTGTCCAACCGACGCACATACCTTAGCCACTCATGAGTGACTCATAGCCACCCATGGGCAACTTCTCAGACAGACTTACAGACACATGAGAGCAACTTGTCGACACTCGGACCCGTAGGCAACTTGTAGACACTTGTGAACACCTTTGAGAAACTCCGAAACATACTCAGACTGATACCTGGAGACAACTGGTCGACGGCATTGTAAGATAGCCGAGGGCCACTTAGGCGCAGTCGAAGACACACCCATGGTCCCTGCCATCATCCATGCTGTGCAGTCCAACCAACATTATTATCAGTGTAATAGTTTTCAAACTGTTTGTGTATATGTAAGGTATTTCTGTTGTCATTGCTTTCATCCATTTTCCGATCCACTTTATCCTCACAAGGGTAGTGGGGGGTGCTGGTGCCTATGCCAGCCGTCTTCGGGCAGTAGGTGGGGGACACCCTGAACCGGTTGCCAGCCAATTGCAGGGCACACAGAGACGGACAACCACACCTAGGGACAATTTAGACTGTTCAATCAACCTGCCATGCATGTTTTTGGAATGTGGGAGGAAACTGGAGTACCCGGAGAAAACCCACGCAGGCCCAGGGAGAACATGCAAACTCCACACAGAGAGGCCAGAGCTGGAATTGAACCTGGTACCTCTGCACTGTGAGGTAGACACGCTAACCACTGGTCAACCCGGGCGCCCTGCTTTCATTTTTTTAATGATTTTTTTTATATAGAAGTATGTCGCAGTGTCCCCTAATGGTGACACAGAGAAGTTCACAGGTATGTCAGGATATTTCAATTTTTTTTTTTTTTTTTGCAGTGTTACATTTCCCCCACTGAAAAGTTAAACCTCAGTCTGCCCTCTAGAGGAGTAACTGAAGTGTGAAAAATGAATGACAAAACAAGGTCGAAACTGGCCAGTGTGACACCTGTGGTGCTGCTGAAGACACATCGAGAAAGGTCTGGCGATTTTAATGGAGAGTTGAGCACCATGGTGCTGTTCCTCTCCTTCCTTACCACTAGATGTCAACGTTTAACAAATATTGTTGTTGACTCGACGAAACTGACAAGATTTGATTCAAATAGTTTTCAGCAATTGTCTCTACTGATTTGGGATTGTTTCACCAGCCGTCTATTTTGAATGTGAGTGATCATATTCCAGTAGTCAGATGCGGAGTGCAAGGAGGTGCAAACGACAGTGGGCTGCTGTTCAAGATCTTCACGAAGCTTCAGGGTCAGTGTTTTACTACCGCATGCGCACCTCAAGATGGTGCGAGTGAGACAAATGCGCGGAATGAGTTGCACTTGTTTCCCCACGTGACATGTTTTAATTAGCTTTTTTTTTTTTTTGGAATGGTGTTGTTCATATTCATCACGTTCTCCTAACCACAGTTTATAATATTAGGCTACTTGCCACAAGCAGAGGTAGGGAAAGTAGTCACAATCTGTAAGTAATAATTAAAAAACGGTATTTGTGTGTAAAAAAAGAAAAAGAGTAAACGTACAAGTACGTTTCAAGTACAAGTATCAATTTCTTTATCCGAAACGGTTTTTTATTATTAAAAAGTAGATTCTGAAATGTGAAAAAGTAAAACTGTTCACGATCAATCCGTTTTGATCAAATGTAAAGAAAATAGTTTCCTCTAGTTATTATCTTAAAAAAATCTAAATCTAAAAAATCCCGTTACACATCACAATTGTGGTTTTTTTTCAAGATCAAGCAAGCAGTGGTTTGACTTTGATGCGAACAAAACAGCGTGTTCCCAACATCAACCAATTCTCGGACGGAGGATATCTTGCTTCTCAGAATTTGTTGAATTTGACAGCACTGCTCTCCCTGTTTTGTCTGCCAAACTTCCTGTCAATCAATCCAAATCTTTACCGCGACTGACATTATTGCTCTCCAGTTCCGTCTTTTTCTACATCTTGTTGTCATCCACCTGTGTTGCAAAAAGTAATGAGGCCATTTGATCAATGTAAGGAATAAAATGTATAGATTTCTGTTTTCAAATGAAATGTGGAAAAAAATTGATTCTTCAGGAAAATAAATACTTGAGTACATATACCTGAAACATCTACTTAAGCACAGTAAATAAAATATTTGTCCTTGATTACATTTGACCAGTGGCAGAGAGTGATGATGATTTTGAGGGCCATGATGTTGCTGGGGCCCCTCCCTCCTGACTTGGCAGCCTGCCTCCTTTTGCCTCCTCTCAGCAGCTGAAGCATTTGCAGACTTGTCGCTGCCTGTGTTCGCATCTCGTGGGCACAGGCGGGTGAGCTCGCCAAGCAAAAGTTTGCTGTCATCTTGGAGTCACACAACTTGCCCAATGGATGCACTTGACTCACAGGCGAGCAAGGGGACATCATGAAAAGTAAGTGATTGCGAATACATACAAACATGTCGACTTGCGTGTTGGCATGCAGTAGCATCACTAGAATTATAATTAAGTTTTCATCATCTGGTCCGTAAAGTCTCTTTAAAATTTGCCTGCCATTTGACAATTTGGGAAATCTTGGGAAGCGAATTTCAAAAAGAGAAATAATTCGAGATCTACTCCATGTTTTGTGATCGTTTGCATGGATCTGACTGTTTTGGAGGGGGTTGTAAAACAATTTTCAAATTGTAAAGAGCATTCACGGACACTGTTTATAATTATCTAATTGATGAAATTATTTCATTCATATGAATTTGGATCGTTCTTGTCTTCACTAACGAGCCATTCCGTCTTCCCATGTTCCGCAGTGTTTGTACATAGGACACACAAACAAAAATTAACACTTCTCCCCATTGAGATCAGTTCAAAAATGCGTAATTAATGTTTAATTTCTAAGATATTAAGTGATGTTCTTCATCTCGTGGGCACAGGCGGGTGAGCTCGCCAAGCAAAAGTTTGCTGTCATCTTGGAGTCACACAACTTGCCCAATGGATGCACTTGACTCACAGGCGAGCAAGGGGACATCATGAAAAGTAAGTGATTGCGAATACATACAAACATGTCGACTTGCGTGTTGGCATGCAGTAGCATCACTAGAATTATAATTAAGTTTTCATCATCTGGTCCGTAAAGTCTCTTTAAAATTTGCCTGCCATTTGACAATTTGGGAAATCTTGGGAAGCGAATTTCAAAAAGAGAAATAATTCGAGATCTACTCCATGTTTTGTGATCGTTTGCATGGATCTGACTGTTTTGGAGGGGGTTGTAAAACAATTGTCAAATTGTAAAGAGCATTCACGGACACTGTTTATAATTATCTAATTGATGAAATTATTTCATTCATATGAATTTGGATCGTTCTTGTCTTCACTAACGAGCCATTCCGTCTTCCCATGTTCCGCAGTGTTTGTACATAGGACACACAAACAAAAATTAACACTTCTCCCCATTGAGATCAGTTCAAAAATGCGTAATTAATGTTTAATTTCTAAGATATTAAGTGATGTTCTTTAAGGCAACACTTTTGGGTGCGTTTTTTTTTTTTTTTTTTTTTTTTTGTGGGTGCTGTTTTTTTGTTGTTATTTATTTGCTGTGACAAGTCCTGTTAGGATGTATGTAGTGTGCCCGGCTTCTTCTCATTATATTTATTTTTATTTCATCACAATAAAAGTTAACAACTTCTGGACTTCTGTGCTGCTTGTAGTTTGCTTGTAGTAAAAGTGTTTTTGCTAGATTCGACACTGAACAAGGTTACTGTTAAAAACAAACAAAAAAAGTCTTCTAAGACTGCAGTCAGAAGCATCTAGTTGTGCTCCATTCAATGGTTTCAAATCAAACCCTTTAAAGTCCCTTACAGCCGAAGGGACTTTTGAGATCAAAAGCCACTTGTTTGACAAATGGCAAGTCTCATCTCCTTTTGATCCACATGTGTTTTGATGAGCTGGAACAGGCGAGACCTTACTAATGAAACAGAGACTTTTTAATTGTTTGGACACCAGCGTTAGTCACCATCATCTTTGCATTATTAAGATTTGGAAGTTGAGGCCCAGTGCAAACAGCTGTCTGTCTAAAGCGCGCATACTCGTCTCCTGAAAAATGCTTGTGGGTCAAGATGTCTCCCGCCCTGCTGGCTAGCTGATTTGTGTGTAAATAAATGGTTTCAGGTCATATTGAGCAGGGATTTGCAAACTGGGGTGAGGGGCGAGCCATAGCTTGGTGTCTACAAAATCATTTGCAATGAGCCTCGTATCATTTTTAAAAAGGGCATACATGAGGATCGGTGTGCCATTAAAGTAAACCAAACAAACCAAATACTCAAGCGTACCTTAGCTTTGGGCCAATTAAAAGCTCAAATGATTGTGGTGCCTTATCATCACATAAATCTGACATCCTGGCAAGCGTGAATTTAATTGGGTTCTTATTATGAGTTTTTGGGTGAAAATGTTAAAAAAAAATCGGTGGCATTTAGAGCTACATGTGGTAGTTGTGGAAGGGACTCCTTGTAAAAAAAAAAAAATCCTCCCCATCCCTTGTGAAACATTGCTATAGAAAGTCTGGTATAATTTGATGTCTTGGCTTCCAGAAATAGAACACGTACAGAAACGCATGTCTGGGCTTTATTTCTGTAAACAACGCACATACAGTCGGGCCTAGAAAATAGCACGGCTTGATTTTCGTGCGGGAAAAAGCCAACCTTTGCATGTTTGTGAATATGGCGCAGGTGGTGTAACACGATTTGGGGGAATTTGATCAAGGTTCAGGGAAAGAGATTCTGAGCTCCGTGGACGTATTTGGTAGATGTCATCGTATTTCATTGTTAAATATGACTTCAGCATGCATCAAATTCTTTATTGTTAATGTCATCTTTTTGAAATTACCCCCCTGGCCAAGGCACAGACAAAAAAAAAAAAAACCTCTTTGGGTCTTTGAGTCTTCACCAGCTGTTCTTCATTGTCTCTTGATGTTCTTCAGGTTTTTTGCCAGGTGAGCAAGGCGGAGCAGGCGGGACTGACAGTCTTCGAGACGGCCCCGAGGAGGGCGGCTTCAGTGGTGGGAGCAACAGCCCAAGTGGATCGCCGCTGTGCAAGATGAACCTTCTGGACGTCAACAGTTGCCCGGACACTCCACAAGCTCGACTTAATAGCAATTCACCACTGAGACCAGGAGGTGAGACTCTCCGTGACTTCCGCTAATAACCCAGGCTAAACTTAGCTCCTCCCCATCCTGTAAAACGTGACTCTCACTTTGAGATGCATCAGCTCAACACATCGTTTGGTTGCATCTTGAGGTGTTAACGTAATTGTGAATTTGGGTCCGACGTGTGGCCTGTTGTACTCTTCTGTACCAGGTGTGACAATCCCTGTCTACTGCGTTGTGGAATATGCAGACATGGCGAGTGACGGCGAGCAGCGCGGTCACAGTCACGCCGAATTTGTGCTGATCCGGAAAGACATCCTGTTCACGCAACTAGTGGAGACGGCGCTGATGTCTTTGGGCTACACGCAAGGCTCGGCTGTACAGGCCCGAGGTGTGTGTGTTTATTTCCGTCGTTTACTCCATTGGGAACTACGCAGCCTCAGACAGAAAAAAAAAATCAATGTCGGCCACAAGAGAATTATAATGTGTATCCAACACGCTAATTTGTGGCCACTTTTCCTGAAAGGGTAAAGTATTGGTAGAAACCGGGGCGAAAGACAACGGACTAGGATTGTATGGTTTTTATTTTGAAGTTTATTTGAGGCTGGGGATGAAGCAAAAGTCTTGGCTTTGCAGCCTAGTGATAAAAACATTTTAAGGACATGTCATATTTCACTTTCAAGAGAAGGTGTGCGCCATTTGTTTTCCCACACGTCCAAGTTGTTCATGGGAAGGATATTAAGCCCATAAATTTGTATATTGTGCGCACATTCTCGCTATTTTGTGGCCACAATTTCATCTTGATTTTTATTTTAATTAACAAGGAAAAGCAGTCTGCTACTTCATGAGCAGTTAGTTGCATCAAAACTCTGTTTTCCCTTTTTTTCAAGTGAAAAACTATTTGTATTTCTCTTCATTTACGAAATCTGAAACAACAATATCTCCGGTACTTCATGTCTGGGAAAACGCCTATCTAAAAACCCCTATCACTCAGCCGCTATTTTGTTTGGTAATTCATGAGTAATGAATTATTAACAGCGGCAATGAATAGATTGTAGCTGTTTTCCAGATGGGTGGCTCCACCACATGAGTGCTCTGCGTGCCAGAAAGTTTAGACAATAAAGACTAATTACTGCATGTTGTTGTTTTTTTTTTCCAAGACTTAAAAAAAAATTGTCTTTTTTTTTTCTTCAGCATAAATATGAAAGCATTGTCGGGTATGACATTCCTGCTTGTGTCCTAAACACAGGGCGCCTCAACCAAGTGGGTAACGCCCTGTACGCGACCCTCCTCCGCCCAAACAAAGCCTTTTCTTTTCAAATCAAGACTTTTTTGGTTTGGCGTGGTCCCAATGTCGCTCCTCAAGTGTGGTCACAACCACAATTACACAGTCGATTTTTTTCTTCTTCTTTTGATTCCAGTTTATTTGCCCTAGCTTGGGCCCATGAAAGTATTTTTAAAGCAACAGAGGTGTTCTTTGATTAGGCTGCATGTTGTGGCTCAGTCACACTTACTCTAAGCTGGCAGACTTCCAGCACGCGGGGTTCAATGGAGGATTTTAGAAACACTGACTGACATAAGGTACAGAGCACTATTTGAAGTATTTTTCCTCTGGAGGCAGCCCACTTGACATTTGATTGTCTCGATCCCTTTGAACATTTTGCCACCCGTAGGAAGCCGAAAAGCTGCAAAGAGGCGCGTTTGCCGTTACATAGGAAAAAGATGACATCATGCTCTTTGTTCAATACCTCCGCACTAAAACATTGCTCTGAGTTGACATTCACATGCTTACACTCAGATTGGTCAAGTTCAGATTCTAAGGAAACATTTGTTTTTGTTCCCTTCGGCCCATCAGTAGCAACCTCATGCAGTGATGACACACACACAGTCTGTGTTTGAATTGGGCTGTCTCAACATTGAACACAACAAAGAGCCTTTTTGGGAGGGTCACACAGATTCGTAGTTATCATCATTTAGTTTTGCTTCCCCCCCCCCCCCCCACACGTGTGTTGTGCAGGCATCATCAAGGTGGGCCAATGGAAGCCGATGCCCATCCACAACCTGACAGATGCTCCAGAAGCCACAGTGGCAGACATGCTCCTGGACGTTTATCACATGGTCACGCTTCGGATCCTGCTGCACAGGTCCTCCAGTCTTGAGTGTGTGATGAGCTCCAAAACAAACAAACAAACAAACAAACAAACAAATAAATAAATACAATGAATACACTAAAATAAATTGCTTATTCTTTTGAGAATTAAAAGCAACTTTTCACATATGCAGGTTTGCCCGTCTGGAGGAGCTGCCCTCTGAACAGTGGACGCATGCCACAGTGAGGAAGGCCCTCAAAGAGGTGCTAGGAGAGACCAATCAGAACGCTCTGCCTAAGGAGTGTCCACTCTCTCGGGTAGGTAGGAGCAGCACACATAGCTGTCTAGACTCCGTTCGGAAATTCACTCTGGCGCCCGAACACCACTGTGAGAGTGGGTGTGTTCAGGGAGCTAGAGAGCGCTTCCATCCATCCATCATTTATCCGAGCCGCGATCCTCACGAGGGTCGTGCTGGAGTCTCTCCCAGCTGTCTTCGGGCAGTAGGCGGGGTACACCCTCAACTGGTTGCCAGCCCGTAGTGTTTTCCCGGCCAATGCTTCTGCATCCTTAATTTGCAGCAAAATCAAGTCATTACAGAGCGCACACCCGAGTGTGCCTTGTTTGACATTGCGGAAACAGAAACAGACTCACTGGGGTTCGTGCATGATATTGGCAGGTGAACCGAAAATCTCCCCTCGCAGATATTAATGATTATAATCTGTTTAATGAACTGATTTCGACAATGATTCATAAGGATTGTCCCACACTAGTGTCATATTATGAATGAAATACCATGAGATTCACCACATATATCCACGTGGTGCATAGGTGTCAAACTCAGGTCCTGGAGGGTCGCTGGCCTGCATGTTTTCAAAGTCTCCTTGTTGCAACACACCTGATTCAAATGAACAGGTTCAATGTCAGGCTTCCGCAGAGCTTGCTGATGATCTGATCTTTTGAATCAGGTGTTTTGCAACAGGGAGACTTGGAAAACATGCAGGACAGCGGCCCTCCAGGACCTGAGTTTGACACCTATGGCGTAGTGTATCTGTCTGCCTACGCCTTGATCAAATACAGTACATCAAAATTGCGTTGGACCACCTGTGCTATGACTTAGACCAGGTTTTTGCCAGTCTACAATCGAGTCTACTTTTTAAAACCAAATTGACAGATGCGCCGGGGGCAGAGCCAGAAACTCCAAATGAGGCATAGCACATCTGCCAAATTCACAAAGATGTTGAACTAAACGATTGCACCGACACAAAAATGGTGTTCTTATGCCGAGCACAGACTACCTTCTTTTACCAAACTGTCAGATGTGTCGCGGGCGAGGCCGGAACGCCCAGACAGGCAAAAAAAGAAGCATATACAGTATAAAGTAAATTAGGGACTGTAATTTACATTAGTGGAATCTACCTGCTTTCATATTGTATTCAACCTTGCCCAATGTTGTGTGTGTGTGTGTCTCTCTCTCTCTCTCTCTCTCTCTCTCTCTCTCTCTCTCTCTCTCTCTCTCTCTCCCTCTTTCTCCCACAGAGTATGATTTCTGCCATCGTCAACAGTTCCTTTTATGCCAACGTCTCCGTGTCCAAATGCCAAGAGTTTGGACGCTGGTACAAACGTTACAAACGCATCCAAGGTGACGGCTCACATGCACGCACTTGCTCCTGCTCTTCTGTTTCTCCCTTCAAGCCATATTTTTGTGTGTGCTTGAGCTCAAGTGTCAAGTTCATGCGCCATACGTCAGTGACGGCTTATGGTCGGAAGGACGTTACACGTGGTCCACATTAATGTCACTCTTAATACACACGGCAGAACTAAGCCATCTTGAATCGTAATAGAAAACAGCAGCAGCAAAGCCCCCGCTCCTCGCACGCGCACGCACATACAACACATGGTGGTACAAATTTGACACCCTGCCAAACCTCACTCTCATTTTTCTTCTCCTAATAGCCCACGTGATCGTCAACCCAACACAATTGTAACAAGAAACAGATTCAGTACAGTGGGGACGAACCATTCAAATCTCCGATAACTGAAACGGACTTCCCACCAAATGCCAGCAGATCATTGATCAAACGATAAACCAAACTGCCCCCGCAGAAGTAATTGACGAATCTTTTCTACAGCTTAATAACACACTCATCAGCCACGATTTTCCATCCACCGATACAATCTAATGACATCCAATACAAAAGCCATATAAGCAATGCCACTGTCACGTTTCAAGTGGTGCTGTAATGTTTCTAATAATTTGCCACAAAGTCTCTGCTGGGATGAAGGGGAAAGTTTATAAAACTGTGGCGAGGCTGTACGAAATAGTGGCACTGAAGACAAAACTCCAAGCACAATTGGAGGGGGTGGAAATGTAGAGGTTCGATGTTTCCGGGACAAAGTTAGAGTGCGCAGAGCTTTGATGGTTCGGACACGTCCAGAGGACTGAGTATATTGCTAGAAGGCTGATGAAGATGGCGCTGCCGGGCAGGAGAGCGAGAGGAAGACCTGAGAGAAGGTTGACTGATGAGGTTCCAGAGGAGGATGTAGAAGACGGGCTCGGGAGGAGAAGGTGGACACTCTCTGGCGACCCCTAACTGCAGGAAATGAAAGGAAATGAAATTCTTCAATGAAATGGCGACCTCTGTTACAGTGACCCGTGTAGGCTAAAGCATGGCAGCTTGATTTAAATGGCACATTTCATACACAAGCCAACTCAATGCCCTCACACAAGCAAAGGTACAACACCTCGAAGTGTTTACAAACAAAACAGCTCAAGACAGTCCACAACAAAGAGGAAAAAACAAAGGTATCTTACCCAAGTTACAAAAAGAATGAAGATTAACAACATTTAAAACACCTCAACAAAAGATTTAAAAAGAAAAAAATAGAGTAGCTTTTTAAAATGACTGAAAGACCGTACAGTGAAAGTGATCTAATAAGACTGAAAATACGTAATTCAAAGTAATGAAGGGGGTGACGGGGGGAGCAAAATATTAAATCGGGATTTACGGGCGTTTACACTCATTGACTGTGTAACTTCCCCTCTCACTGACCGTCAGCTCAGCTATGTCTCCAGCACGCCTTTGAAATTGGATGGACTGTTGTGTGATTTTTCCGGTTCTTTTGGTGATAATCTTGTGGCAGGAGTCAATGAATAGGCTGAGAATGGGTGCGATTTTGTTTCAAGAAGATGAACAATTCATACACAAGACATTCGCAGCACGCTGAAGATCCTTCCACAAGCAGTTGATCGGCTCATCTTGCGGCATCTGCCTCCTTCTATCCCACTGCAACGCTGCCCACAAAGTGCGCGGTTTCCATCTGTTATCTCGAGAGCATACAGTCGCTTTCGCTCAGGAGCTACAGTTGCAACCTTTCATAGCACAAAGTGTGATGACAGTGTGGTTACCTTGTAAACCTCACAATCAGGAGATTGGGGTTCAAATTTCCGTTCTAACATCTCTCTGTGACGATTGCAAAGGCTCGGTTTCCTCCTACATTCTAAAAATATGCATGCCAGCTTACCTGAAGAGTCGAAATTGGCCATAGGTGTGAATGCTTTTTTGTTTATATGTGCCCTGCGATTGAATGACGACTGGGCCATGGTTGTGCGCTCCCCGTTGCCCCAAAGTCAGCTCCAATTACCTGAGACCCTAATGAGGACAAGAACTACAGAAAAAGGGCAGATGAAAAACTTGTGGCAACAAAGTAGCCAACAACATTTTCTTCTGCAGTTTCGGATGTAAAATCCAAATACCTAATACCCAAATACCTTCTCTATATGTTATTGTTTTTTTGTTTTGTTTTGTTTTGTTTTGTTTTTTTGTGGTTGTTTTTTTTTAATTGGGCATTTTTTTTAAAGTGCAAGAAATCTTTTTTTTCAATTGTAGGGCATATTTAATTACGCAGTTTAAGTGCAAGAGAGCACTTGTATTTACATGGCATGCAGTCATGAAAATAACCGATGCACATATATAGCAAACACAATCAGGTTGATTCTTGCAATTCTTGATTGTTATTGTGTCAAAACAAAGCTGAAGAAATCGCATGCCAGTAGCCGCAATTTGAATGCTCACCCACAAAAATATGCCTGAAGCTACCATTAACCCTCAGAAAGTCCAGGATGCATATGCCAGATTGCACACTGAGCCATTTTTGAGGCTACAATCACTCGAGGATAAGCGTAGCTTTAGCTGGCCATTCAAAAGTCCTGATAAACACTCACCTGTTTCAAATTAAGCCACTGGCTGCATGGAAAAGTGAATAAAAGAAAAACATCTTGCGACAAAGTGAAGTGAAATCTCCTCTTACAGTGGTCTAATAGATGCAGGATGTTCTACTAATCCGTTGGCAGTTCAGGTCGTGTTCTTGGAAACTAGCTTAAAAAAATAGTAGTGTGAAGTGTTCAGTTTAAGCTGCATGTCTGGGCCAGTAAGCTTCGTTTTAGCCTTCCAAAATGCTGAAAAAAACGAAAAGAAAAATAGCCCATAACGTGTTACACAAAAACTGGAGCACTTGGGGCAAAATGAAGTGTACCATTTTCTGCAGTGCGAAAAACGACTCCAGAAAATGTTTTTGTCATTACTGTTTTTGTTTATGCATACCATTGGAATTGTTGAAATGTAAAACTGTCCCATGAATTCATTCGTTGACACATGGAATGATGTGATTTGTTGATGGTATCCTCTTCAGGTGAATATGCAGAGACAATGTGGCAGCCCCAGGACAAATCCGATGTAAATGGTACATTTTGTCTTCACTCTGACTTTCTATGGATTGCAAGATAAAAACAGAATAAGAACTTTACAACATTTGTCTGCGTATTCACACAGGAGAGAGAGATTGGGAGCCGAGCATCCTCAACCGGCGTCTTCCTTCTCTTTTGCCCTACCTGGGTGGCCCTGGAAGCCTCCAAAATTGCCTACTGGATCAGCAGAGTTCCAGCCTGCCACACTCCACCAATCCTTCGCCCAGCCCCCCTTTGCACCCCCGGGCTCCGGCTCATTTGGGCCACGGCGGCCTCCTGCCCCCACAGCTTATGCGCCATCAGCTTGCCGTGGCGCACCTCATCAACCAGCAACTCGCCGCCAACTGCCTGCTCTCCCAGCAGCCTGTGCAGGGGCTCCCCCAGCCGTACGTCAACCACTCGCCTATTTCACGCACGTGCAAGGGCCCTCCTGATCCCACCTATTCAGGAGCTGAAGTGTCTTCTGACATCTACCACCGAGTTCGGAGCGAGCTGAAGAGAGCCAGTGTCTCTCAAGCTGTCTTTGCCCGGGTGGCTTTTAACCGCACTCAGGTAAACTGGCCAAATGTTCCCCGCTGGTATGTCCAATGGAGGTAATCCCCAACAGCGCGTCTGCTCTTCATGCACGGGCAGGGCTTGCTGTCAGAGATCCTGCGCAAGGAGGAAGATCCCCGCTCGGCCTCACAGTCGCTGCTGGTCAACCTAAAGGCCATGCAGGCTTTCCTGGGTCTACCAGAAGGAGAACGAGACCGCATCTACCAGGGAGAGCGAGAGAGGAATAGTCAAACAAATCACAACCACGTCTCCAATGGCAACACCCACAAACACATGCAGGTACACGCATTCTCACCAGGGAGAATTGATTAATTCCCCAAAATGGTCCTTTTTTTTTCATTTTTAGGAAAACTATTCTATTTTTTATAAATGATTTGACAAAATATTGGTGTACCACAATGACATAGATGCAAAGAAATGCAGAGCAGGAAGATGTTTTTTCATTGGCCACATGGCATGACTCCTTCTTGTGACTGTCAGCCCTTCGATCATTCACGAGCTCCAAAAGTTAGCTGCTGATTAGATGATATGTTGCCATTTTTGTTGGTACTTTAAAACATTTTATACAAGCGGGAAAGTTCTCAAGTTGAGGGCACGCGGAAGTATGGATGCATTTTGGCAGCCGGGTGAACTTCCCTCAATTATATTTCCACCAGTCTGTGCATAGGCAACAGTTCCTTAGGTCTTGCTGGTTACGTCTTCATCCAGGTTAGCCAAATCCCTACAGGGGTGGAATTAAGCCTTTCCGACACTAGACCTGAATGGTTGTGCCTTCTGCTGTTTGACTATCAAGCAGTAAATGCCAGTACACATCCGCTGCTTTAAGATAGCAAGACTAGCATCACGACACCAATAAGCTCACTGTAGACTGTAAAGAATCAAACATCAAAACGCTCAAAAGAACCTTCAGATTGTAATTCTTGTCTGCAGACTAAATCCAATGTGGAGACTCCACTTAAGATGGACTCGCTAGTGAACATCACATCAAGGATCTACGAGGAGATCCAACGGGAAATGAAGAGGGCTAAGGTCTCCCAATGTCTGTTTGCAAAAGTCTCTGCAAACAAAAGCCAAGTGAGTTCTGGGGTTTCGGTTTCCTGTAAATAGATTTGTTTATCTCAGAGTGACAAGAATTAAGCTGAGATGATGGAGGGACGATCCCATGAAAATAATTCATTTCCAAGTCACAGCTAGTGCAAAAATCAGGCAATGGCGGCACTTCTCGATGTGTCGTTTTCCTGCAGGTTTCTGTGCTTTAGTGGGCAAATGTTCAAATGTTGTCACTGTCACCTCGTCTGCCAGGGTTGGCTGTGTGAGCTACTCCGATGGAAAGAAAATCCAAGCCAAGAGAATCGCACACTCTGGGAGAACCTGTGCACCATTCGCAGGTTTCTTTCCATCCCGCAGGCTGAACGCGATCGAGTTTATGAGGAGGAGGCGAGGCAGCAGCACGGTGATAAGCTCCCCGCTGTCCTTCACCTCCCCGAGCATCAGGTACAAGCGTCTGGAACTATAGAATTATGGGCCCAAATCAAAGGTTGTACAGCTAATGAATTTTTAGAGAGCCAGGTTTCCTGCTTTGCAGTCTGCTACAGCTTGTCTTGTTTTTGTATCGTAAGTTATTTTAAAAGGACATGGTCAATGACTCGGCCACGCCGTCCCTGCTCAACCGTCCCCTACCTCTTCCAACAAAACCCCAAATTCTTGCCAGTCAGACTCGACCTCAATCTTATTCTGAATGCAGCCTATAATTTTTGATCACGGGAAAAAGGACCAAAATGATGCCTATTTTGGTCCTGTCTATTTGATGGGTTTTTGAAGTGCAGGCCGCCCCACCCCGGTAATACGCTCTCAAAACGTGGTTGTTCGGAATGTGAGAGAATTTAGACGGCCAATCGCACTTCTGCTTTGACAAGATTTCTATTGATGTCACTGCAGAGTCGGAGGAGCAGCGGGGTTTGACGGATGGGAGTTTAAGGTGTATGATGCGTTGAACCCATTCTTCTTTTATCTTTTGTTTTTTTAACAGGCGCCACCCCTGCCACCTCTGAGAGCCCTATCTCCTCTTCACACGCACCCACAGCTTACAACCCTACCCCTCCTCAGTGGGGCCGAAAATGGGCCTCGGCGGGGAATGAGCCCTGGCCTGCGGGAAGCAAAAAAGGCCCGTTCACGAACGCGAATTTCCTTGGAGGCGCTGGGGACCTTGCAGAGCTTCATTGGCGACGTGGGGCTCTACCCGGACCAGGAGGCCATCCACACCCTGTCGGCCCAACTGGACCTGCCTAAGCATACTATCGTCAAGTTCTTCCAGAACCAGCGCTACAACTTCAAGCACCACAATTCCAGGGAGTCAGGGCTTGAGGAGGACAACCGGGAGGCAGCACGGGAAGAGGAGCAGCTCTCCGTGCCCGTGGACTCCAGTGAAGATGGAAGAGCTTCAGCAGACACCTTTGCAACTGAGAGAGAGCCAGAAGCGAATCAGAAGGAGAGTGATGATGGAAGAGCCTCAGCACCAGCAACATCATCCTTGTCGCCAAATAGCAGTTCAGACAGCCCAAATTCTGCAGGGCAGCAGAGATAACAACAGGGGAGAAAAACTGTGAAGCACCCGTGAGATTTGATGTCCGCCGTTGTCATTCTTGGTTTATGAGCCCCCACATTTAAGCCATACGGGCACAACAGCACCAAAACCTCCACACAAACTGGACCCAAATATCGTACACACTGACACGTAATTTATTGTTCCATTGTTGCTGCAGCAACTGAACTTGATGTGACGCTCAACAGCGCAACAACAATAGACATCTGTATTTATTACATCCTTTATATTTACTGGAGAAAATAAAGATTTACTACTTTCCTTACCATGACTTTTGGTGTTTACTTTATCCGCTTACATTGCGCATTTTGGAGCTAAGGTCACATGAAACGTGTGTGAGCGAGATGTGTCTGGCTTTGAAGTATTTGTGAGGACTCATGTAAAATTTGCTCTCATCTAATATGACAACTGCATCAGTGACTGTTGGCACGCTCCGTTGGCTCTTTGCACACAGCTGGCTATTAGATCCGTATGGCAGACCGATAAAGGGCCATTAGACGTGCGTGCGAGTATACGTGTGTGTGTGTGCGCGCGCGTGCGTGTGCGCGCGTGCGTGTGTGCGTGTGTGCGTGTGTGTGCGCATGTTGTGGGATAAGGACGCAGGTGCTCTCTGCAGGCTGATATTACTCAGGATGCTCAGGGCCGGGGGCAGAGGGGCTTTGGAGGAAGGAGGCTCTCATGTGGAGCTTGCAAACACACCTGTGATCCTCTGCTCACATGTTCTGTCATTTTCTCTCTCTCTCTCTCTCTCTCTCTCCCTCTCTCTCTCTGCGCTAGCTTTTGGCCACCTTGAAAAGGGTACACACACACACACACACACACACACACACACACACACACACACACACACACACCCTCCCTAAGCCTCAGCATGTTGATACACACGTTGATAAACAAGCTAATACTCAGAGCACAAAACTTTACAAACTGCTGAGCACAACGCAACGTAATCAACAGCCAGCGCTGCATGTTTTTATGTTCTTTAAAATAAACCTTTTTTCACATCAAATAACTTAACTTGCTCATTTGCTGAGTCTGTATGTCGAACCCTTGTGCACTCAATTAGAAGTGAAATCACAAGATGGGGCTTTGGCACTATACAGCTGATTAGCATGCAACCATTATGTACAGTTGGCCGCCTCAGACGCAAAGCTCAAAAAGACACAAGCATGAAGTAAACAACCTTAACAGACTGGATCTCTGTCACAGGGTTTCGAATAACAAGCTTATGCATTCACAGCCAACACACTCAAATATATAACTTGTTACGGAGCAATTCTGTACTTCGAGTATGGACACTTAATGTGGTTCCGTTTTTTTCTTTTTTCTTTTTCCTGTCTTTCTTTAAATACCATGTGTTGAGCGCCGAACTGTTGCACAACCATAAAAGAAATTCACAGCAAATGCAAGCTAAAATTAAAAACAAATAGGTTTGCTTCTCTTTGTCCCATTAATTATGGGTGGCAAAAGTATATCTATATCTATATCTCTATATCTATATCTATATATATATATATATATATATATGTGCTCATTACAACGTGGAGCAGAAGAATTGAGTGCAATGATTCTCATGTAGTTAATCACTGAAAGATGAATGTGGATACATTCACAGGCATTTAAAAATTTGACAGAGTCGTGGCTCTAAAATGAATGCCTCCCTGAGCTTTGACCTCAGCTGTTGCTCAATGCACTGTTGAGGCACTCAGTGATTATGTAACGCAACAGGCTAACTTCACGCTCGCTCAATCATTACGAGCGCACCGTACGTAACATATTGCACCAAACCTTGGTTCACGTTGTAGTTTTGAATTGAGCAGCCAGACAGAGAGGTCTATAATAGGATCCAATCAGTGCATGCACTGCTCAAGTCTCGGGATCTGTCAAGAAGCCACAGCTGGGTTATGTGCTTTCTTGCACCAGCTGCACACTGGGCTGTAGAAAGCACCACCAGGTGTCTCAGATTTCACCCCACCTTCCCTCCTTCGCTGGTTCCCATGCGCGGCCTGCTGAACCATTTATACAGGGATGATTAGCAGCCGCTGTTCCTTGCTTCCATCAAAGACGGCCTCTCAAAGACCGCCACTGCTTCCTCGCCACCTATGAGCTGAGTCTGGCAGAATGGTAAGCATTGGCTAAGGGCCCCATTGGGTGCTGGCAGTTTGGTGCATTTGGGACGGGGGCCTTCAACGGGCACCGAATGCACTTGATATCCAGCTTAAGGTCCTCGTACTGATACTCTTCTAGTTACACAATTCAGTGCACTACAAAGTCGTCAAATGACTCAGGTGCACCAGTAGTGGAAAAAACGTGTCTAATAAGTATGTTTTTTTTCCACAACTGCTTCCCCTTTATTGTCTGAAAATCTTGCAATACTAGTCGAACAACTACATGTCACTAGTGAGGCAAAACTGTGCACACGGTGACATGTGCACGCTCCAAATATGGGAAGGTGTCTGAGCATTTATTCAGTATCGCTGTTGTCCAGCTGAAGGTTCATGTATACTCTGTGTGCTCTTTGTCCTCACTAGCAAGACAAGTGAGCGGCACCAGTAGAATGACAGGGCCATTGGTTGTTGCGCCATGTGTCCAAAGGTGTGGATGTGAATGCTTGTGTGTCTTTTGCGTTAGCTTCATGTCGGACTGATCATCTCAAGACCACACATGACATTACTTTTAGCCTTCTGACTTTTGTGTTGCACTTATGGAATCCATAGCATTTGTCTTGCCAAAGTTTATTCAAGCAGCATGTGATCCAGCTGTACAGTCTATTTCTTCCCTTGTTGAAGGGAGCAGTCTACCGTATGACGGTACTTGAAGCCTCCTCGGCTGACATGGGCCCTAATTTCATTAATTATAAACCAGTATGCTGCTGGTGGCCCCAACAGAGAGGACTTTACCCAGCGCTGGCATCTGTTCAGCGCAAACAGTGAGGGACGGCGGGAATCGGCAGAAGGAGAGAACAAGGACATAGCGCCCATGGTCAAGGCTGAAGCGCGGCGCTGTGATAGGGCGGCGCTTTCAAAGTGCACGTCCTCAACATGAAGACCGTCGTATCTGAGAGGCAGATCAGAGACTGTGCTTCAAGGAGCACAAATTCAGACGAGAGAGGTCTTTCATGAAAAAGACATCTCAGATACAAGCAAGCAAAAATATACATTTCCCAAGCCTATAATCAACTAAATTTAGAAAGGCTTTGGCACTATGATTTTCTATGCATTTTCATTGTTGTCACATATTGGATGCATTTAGTCCCTTACCCAAAAGCACTGTACCAAAGTTCAGCTTTGTGGTTTATTTTCAACTGCGGTGAACATTTTTTTTCCCCATTTTCAACATCCTAAGTTCCCAGAAGCATGATGAAGATTTCCTATTTTACGCTGCATGCTTTTGACTTGGACCACCCCGCCACCCCTGTGCAGATTAACAATGAACAAATCCCGATGTAGATGCAGAAAATCTAAAAACATAACTGTTGCTTCATGTACGCCACAGTCCAACACTCACACGCACATACACACACAATCAAAGTGCAAAAGCATGTAACCAAAGGGGAAGCTGTTTATGCCCTCATTGTGCATCAATTATAGCACGCGCACACACACACACACACACACACACACACACACACACACACACACACACACACACACACACACACACACACACACAGGATTTTTGCTTAGGTGAGAAATAGCAGCTCAGAATGGTGATGATTATGAGCATTAGGTTGTGTTGGGGAAAATGGTCTTTCCCCCGCGTGTTTGTTGAATTCCGGATGAAGAGGATGTTGCTTATCCAAATACAGGCTGGAGTCGATGAACAGTTTCTTCGAAGCTTTTAATAACAGAATATTCCGGGCATCCGTGAGTTACAGACAAATGGCTGCATATTACGAGTGTAAAGACGGAAGGGATTCACAAAATATTTATATGATCAGAAGGTCGGTACCAAAACTCATGGTGAGGCATCAGGACTTTGGTTTCTCCTAAACCGATTCTTAGCTTGTGTCAACTGGTGCATTCCTATGTCTGTGTGTCTCTACAAGGTCTCCAGTAGGGAGTGTTCTAATTTTAAGTGATGATTGCTTCAAGGACGCCAAGTTACGCTGCGGGCATGGGAAATGACTAAATATGGGCAGAATACACACTTAAATTGCTTTGTCGAAAAATCACTTTCGGGCATGACCCAAAACAAAACACAACCACATATTTGATCAGATCAACCCTAATTCCTTGTCCTACGCAGCTGATCTGATTATTGTGACCTTCTGTATAATCATGGATCGCCAATTATTAGTTTAACCAGTACTGTTTTTGCTACCACAGGGAGCAGCGTAAAAAAAGAAAAAAAAAAGGTAGGTAGGGGATGCTGAGTAGTTTCATATACTGTATCACTGAGCGTCTATAATGTGATTTTCAGCTCTAATTAGATTTCGGTCACTTAGTGTGTCATAATGATGTTTGTCTTGTAGAGCAACTGACACCGTCCATCAGGCCAATTAAATATTAACCTGACCTACCGCTGGATCGTGTGTGTGTGTGTGTGTGTGTGTGTGTGTGTGTGTGTGTGTGTGTGTGTGTGTGTGTGTGTGTGTGTGTGTGTGCGTGTGTGTGTGTGCATCCACTCACAGCACACACAAATACTAATGTTCATATGCACTGTCTGACCTACATTCTTGTACACAATGTCGAGAGAGGTGACAAACATGCATGATTGTGTGTGTGTGTGTGTGTGTGTGTGTGTGTGTGTGTGTGTGTGTGTGTGTGTGTGTGTGTGTGTGTGTGTGCGTGTGCGCGTGTGTGTAAAAACATGCCGATGCACTGGGCCGTGAGTCTAATGCAAAATTAGTGTTATCTTCCTGCCAAATAATGCATGACGCCACATCCCAGGGCTACAGCACAACTTCACATGTCAACCTAGCAGTCGTTGTCACTCTCCCTGATGAAGGATATTTTATTCAAAATGTCACACGGAGCAGAAACCGCTAAATAAGTGCAGCCATACAACTGGCCTCAACCCAGCTGACTTGAAGGACTAATTGCAGACACAGTATGATGCAGAAAAAGCATCAACAAGAAACAACTGGCTGACTGGCCAGTAAAAGTTTTTTTTCCCCCCTTTAGGTCATCTTGTGCATGGCCACCAAGTACAGCATAGAAAGGCTTCCATAAATAAGTGGTGGGAAGTATCCAAATAACAATACTCTTACTGTAATTAAGTACTGTAGATGTTTCAAATACTGCACTTTGGATATGCCATCTCT